CGGGCTTCCTTTCCCCGCGGGTCTCTTGCGTTACGAGCCCACGCCGGGGAAGGGCTGGGGGGTGATTCGCGCTGCGACCCGCTCCCTCTGCTCTGCTGCTCCTGCAACCCCGGCGCCGGGCTGAAGAAGGGGTCTCTCTTCTGCAGGTGCTGCCGACTCCTCCTCCGCCCCGCTGCTCGACAGGGACTCGCTGCAGCTGCCCGCAGGTAGGGGCCCGGCGCTGCCTGCGCTCCCCGCCGCGCCCGAGCCGCTCTCAGCCTGCCCTGTCCCCCGCAGGGCTCTCGGTGATGAGGGTGGCGTACGGGGACGTGTCTCACCTCGGAGTCTTCTGCACGGACCCCATCCCCAAAGGAGTCCGCTTCGGCCCTTTCCAAGGCAAAGTGGTCAACACCAGCGAGATCAAGACTTACGACGACAATTCGTTGATGTGGGAGGTAGCGGAGGCACCGCCGGGCTCCCCCCGCACCCTCTTACGCGGGGGCCGGGGCGAGGCTTTCGACCGCCCCTCTCCCGTAGCCTGCAAGAGAGGCTCGGCCCAGCATGGGTGGTGGGGTTGGTGGGGAGCGGGACGTGTGCGGGAAGGGTCGGTCTAACCTGATGCCGTTCTCCTGGCTCTCCAGGTCTTTGAATACGGGCGCCTGAGCCACTTCATAGACGGGAAGGGCGCCTCTGGCAACTGGATGTCCCTGGTGAACTGCGCCAGGTTCCCCGAGGAGCAGAATTTGACGGCTATCCAGTGCCAGGGGCAAATCTTCTACGAGAGCTGCAAGGAAATCTTACCGAACCAGGAGCTGCTGGTGTGGTACGGCGATTGCTACGTGCAGTTCCTGGGCATCCCCATCAGCCTGAAGGGCATGCCGGAAGGGAAGAAGCCCCTGCAGCACCCCGAAGGTGAGCCTGCCAGCCGCCCCTCACGCCCATGGACCCGTGTCTGCCGGGGATTAGGTTTGTGTGAAGGGAGGGAAAGGATCTCGGGCATCACCTTTTTCCAGGTCTGTTTTCCCCGTCACTGCGCGGAACCCGTGGCGAGGTGACCGGCCGTACCGCGGGGATGCTCCGGGGTGGCGGTGGCCCCCCCCAGGCCCGGTCTCACGGCGCTGCCCGCCCTCCCTTTCCCTTGCAGCCTCCAGCACTCCAAAGTAGCACCTTCTCCTCGACTCCGGGGAGCCCGGGGATTGCAGCGATGGCTGCTGCCAGCTCGCAGGGAGAGGCAGCCCCACTGCCCCGGCAGCTCGCCCCCTGGCCGCCTGCCCTCGGCGACATCCAAGTGTCAAACAGATGGTGGACCCGGGCTGAGCTTGTTCGAGAGGGGTCCCGTTTGGGGAGGAGAGGGGCTTGGGGGGGCATGTCTGTGTTGTTCCTGCTTTATCCTACAGTTGTGGACACTGAGATATTTCGGGCAATTAACGCTGTCAGTAAATGGGGCAGGCTGAAGTCGTTCCGATCCCATAACGCTAATACTGCTTGCAGAGGAAATGCCAAATGCGCTTACTCCGGGAGAGTTCTGCTTGCGATGAGCAGAAAGCATGACGTTCTTCTAAGCAAAACTTGTACATGGAGAAATCAGATTTTGTGCCCAATGCAGGGAAAGCTGGAGCGGGTGCAGGATGGGTGCAGCAGTACGGGGGAGAAGCAAATTGTCATGAAAATTTGGCGTGGAAATTGTTGTAGCTGTCGTCTTCAGGTGCCTGGTTCAGACAGCTGATAAATTGTTCATTTCATTCACAGGCTTAAGCCAAAGTTACCTTTATTAAATGCAGACAAGGATGTGTAAACGTTTGAAAAATTTCCTGCGTTGCTCTTAAATTCAGCGGTTAAGAACAGTTTGAAATACAAAAGAAAACCAAATAAACGTGGTTTTGTTCGATAATATTTTGAAAACGATTGAAAAGACGTGCAAATTGATTTTTCTTTTTGGGGATGGGAGGTAAAATTTACGGGCAAGATTGATAGCAAGTACCCGGCAATGTTTCCGCGTGGGGAGACCCTTTTATGTGGGACTTTGCGTTGGGTTTTTCACATTTGTTCGCTGTTTATGGGGACACAAGGATGAAAGCCTGAAGTCTCTAGCTAAAACCAATGATTTCATCAGGTTGTGGGCTCCAGTTTGTTCTTTTCCGTTAGAAAGACAAGTGGAGCTGTGGGAACATTTGGGAGATCCGACGTGTATTTTGTTAACGGTATTGCCAGAATCCATTTACCGTTATTACTTAAATTAAAATTTAGGTAATAAATTACTTAAAAACTAAAGACTTAAAAATTACTTTGAAATCGAATACTTAAAAAGTACTTAAAAATAGATTATTTTAAAAAATAAAAGACTTAAAAATTACTTAAAAATTAAAGACTTGCAATTCCCAGTTGGGTACCAGCTCTGACCAGATTTGAAATGTGGTGTAACGGGAAGGTGACACTTTCCCTTCTTCTCTACAGAAGCCGGGGAGAGCTTTAAGTGCGAGCGCTGCGGCAAGGTTTTTGCCTACAAGTACTACCGGGACAAGCACCTCAAGTACACTCGCTGCGTGGACCAGGGGGACCGCAAATTTCCTTGTCACCTTTGTAACCGATCCTTTGAAAAAAGAGACAGGCTGAGGATCCATATTCTCCACGTTCACGAAAAGCACAGACCTCACAAGGTGAGCCTGCTCCTGGGTCTTTCCGCAGTTCCTGGCTCTTCTGGGGGGACCCCTTAAGGAGTCTTTTTTGGCCGAGGTAAGATGCTGATGTTGTTTCTCCTCCAGTTTCTCTGGCAGTTCCCTGGTGGGAATGCTCTGCCTGTACAGGAAGAGCTTGTCTTCTGCAGCACAGCTCAGTTGAAGAAATTTAATATTGGGATTTTTATATTGGGAAAATAAACCCCTCAGTCTCAGTGAGACTTTGAAAAGAAATAGTATTTCTCCTGGGCTTTTTGGATGTTTGCACGCGGGGTTTTGCTACTTTTCTTACACAGTGTGGGGCTAACTCGTGTTCAAAGGTGCTCCACTGGCCCGGGATCAGGAGGGACGATGTCTCATGTCCCTCATTCTCCACTTGGGTCTGAGACCCGACAGACATCTGTGTCTGCTGGACAATAGGAGTTAAAAACTTTTACATTCAACGTGGAGCACATTTTCAGCTGGTGGAAACAAATCTTTGCTGACATACTTTCCTCACCTCCACTGAACACCTCTTTGTAGCACCAGTTTTCTCTAGGAACACTGGAAGTGGAAAATCACGAACTTTTCCTAAAAGACTTGGGAAGGGCAAGTTCCAGTGCTTGAAATGGCACCGTTAAATCAGCCTGAAAAGCCTCCAAATACCTGTTTTATAGATCGCCCTGCAGTAACATGAGTTTTTCAGGAAAAGCTTTTATAACTGAATTGTCAGTATTATAGTGTCAGAATATCACATTGATTTAGTAACAGATGACAAACATTATTCCGTTGAATGCTAAATATTAAATATCATGTAATTCTTCCCCTCTTTCTTTCCTTCCTTTCTTTCCTTTCCTAAAGCATTTATTTTGGAATGTATGCGAAAAAAATACTTTAGAGCAGCAGGAAGATAAACTTGTTCTGAATATATTGCATTTCTATGAGAACAGATCAGCTCAAAAAGCAAAGATAAAAAATGTGCCAGTAAAAAAAAAATGCCTTCTTTCAAGATTGGTCATAGCTGAGTTTCTCTGGAACTTGTGAATAACTTATTTCAAATTAATTGTAGGCACATTTTGAGGCACATACAAATTGCACTGAATCGGTGCAAGTCTCACAAATTACTTCAGCCCCTTCTGAACTGTGTTTTGTCCTGTTGCAGTGTACACACCAGCTCCTTGGGCAGGAGGATGCTGCTTGTTTCACTCCTCTAAGGAGAGTCACTTCTGACAGATCAAGCTGTAGGTGAAATGCAGTTTCTGACAAATGTTTACTCTTTTAAGACGTTCCCCTTAAGATTTTTTTTTTTAGAAAGTTTATCTTTTGAGCAAAAATTTAAAATGGCAGCTGGAGTTTGATTTACATTTTGAAGAAAAATGATTGATGTTACAGAATTTTGATTTTGAAAGTTTACGTTATCTGTTCATGTTCTGAAGATGGATGATTTTTAACAAAGCAAATTTAACCACACACACAAACCACCTTTGACATTTTGCATGATTTTCCTTCTCTTTTAGGAAAAAATCTGTTCTTAAACCCAGATTAAGATTCTGACTGTATTTCAAACTGTTACTACCTAAACTACTGCTGTTTGTATATACACAAATACATAAATATATGTCTAAAGAGAAATATGTATATAGATAAATATGTCTATAGAGAAATATGTATATAGATAAATATGTCTGTAGAGAAATACACATACATAAATATATGTAGGAAAACACATGCACACATCACCCGCATACCTAATTTTTCTTTTTAACTATGGTATTGTGTGCTTCCTTTTAACTTTATCCTTTCCCTTCCCCTCCTCCCCCAGTGCTCAGTATGCGGGAAGAGCTTTTCCCAGTCCTCCAGCCTGAACAAACACATGAGGGTTCACTCCGGGGAGCGCCCCTACAAATGTGTCTACTGCAACAAGGTAAGGCAAAGCCCCTGGCCCTCTTCCACATCTGCACTCAGCATCACTGCACCAGGGGGGTGGGGGTGGCTCTTCCCATGCTCCGTTTTATTTTTTCCCAGTTTTTCTCTTTCTCTTCTGTTTTCTTCCAAGAAAAAGCCTTCGTTGAAGTGATAGGGCTTGCTAAGACTCAAGAAACAGGCTCTGGGCTCTGTCTGACGTGGGATTTGTGTTTCGGCCCAGTTCAGAGCACTGCTGGGGGATAAGGTCTAGAAAAGCTTGAAAGTATTTCAAATACCATCCAAGGCATGCAGCTAGATCCAGTATTCCCCTTTTTCATCAAACAGGTAGTTTTTGGTATTGCTGACACCGCTTCTGGAGTGCGGTGACAGGATTGGGCCCATAAGCTGGGTATGACTTTGTGCATGCTTACCTTGAAGGGCCATTGCTGTGCAACTGGGCATGGAGTTTGAAAAAGAACATGAACAGAGCCATACAGCACCGATCAAAAAATGTGCTCAGCTGTTACTACCCTTCACCACAGGGATGATGCAGGTGAGCTGTCCCAGTCAGAGCCGTGACAGCTCCCCCAGCAGACGAAGGATGAATGTACAGGCTGCTGCTGGATGAGTGTTGGTAGGGCTCCAGTTGCTACGGAGTGTCCATGCAACACAAGCACCGTCAGCATGTAGTAAGGTGTTCCTGATTTTGGAGAGAGAAGTTTTGTTTATGACTGGCTGGACTAGCACAGAGTTGAAGTGTCCTGTAGTAAAGAACCTTAGAAGAAGCTCCTTCAGGCTATTATATTTTTTTTTTCTCCTGGACATCCTGAACACTTGTAGAAAGAGTTTAGGATGAAATTTCATCCTTTGATCTTTCGATCACAGGAAGAGATGGCAAAGCTTTACAGATTGCTCTGTGAACAGATCTTTAGGACACGTGGGATCTTTGGCCAGCCCCCAGCCCTTCTGGTTGGACTGTTGCAGATTGGATCAGATCAAACCATTACTCCTTAGGCTGCAGCTATCCTGGGACATAGCCATCAGTTCTGTGGCTGGGAAACCGGGGCTGTTTTAAAGCATCCTCACCTGCTCCTCTTACATAGTTACAATTCCTCTTTGGCTGTTCTACCTCTAATGGTGGCTGTGCTCTGGGGATCTTTGCTTTCCCTGCCCCTTTGCTAGCTGTCTTGGTGACATTGTGAGATTAAGACAACCATTCTGGCCCTGAAACACTCTGGCCCTGTTGATATACACCTCCAGGGACTTTTCACTAGGAATCTCAGATCTGTTTGTGCTCTAAGGTTCCTAGTGAAAAGGTATCTGAGATGTATTGCTCTTTGCTGTGAGAACTTACTTGTGATGGTTCAGCAACGTAACAGTACTAAAGAGGTTTTATTTTGTGTGGTCTTCACATAGTTGAAGGGCCTGAAAGTGTTTCTCTTGGGAAAAGAGAAAATGGGGAAAGCATGGGCAACTGTGCAACATTCCTACTCAAGTCTTGGTGAGAGGGTTTTCTCCCTAAATGAAGGAGTCTTTACAGAGGGGACAGTGTGATTGTGCACACCTTGCTACTCGGGGGGGGGG